CTCAGGGCCAATCATCATTTATCACCAGTTTCGAAAAACAAAGTGATGCTAGTGCCGATCGGAAAGGAGAGGGTTGTCAGGGGAGGCGACCAGACATTATGTTTGTGATGAAGCACAATGAGAAAATTCACGAACTTCTTTACGTTGAGTGCTCTCGCATCTCTTGTACCAGACAAAAATCTCAAGATGACGAGGTAAAGTTATGGAGGGAGGTTAATGATGGGATGTATTATGTACGTAAGAGTTGCAAGCCTAAAAAAGATGAATTTGGTATTGTGGGGTTCAAGTTGCTGGTCAAATAATGAAGTTAAATGTCCTTATAAGAGACTCCGCTGAAATTCATAGATACTTTCATCTCCTCGAAGCTAAAGTACCGATTCAGCAGTCAGAGTCATGTGTAGTAATGAAATTTGTTGAGCTTTTGCTAGTATTACGTAATATTTTAATTGTAAATATGAACCTATTATGTAATGCTTCTTTGCCTAGATCTGCAAGGCTTATTGAAGAAAGTTCAACGGTTGCATCCCCTCGAGATTAAACAAGTTAACTCTTAATAAAATTTACACTTGATTCTATCATAGACCGTAATAGTAATGCAATTTATAATATCAAAATGGATACATTTTTAATAAACAAAAAAAATCACGTTTTGGCCAAGATTTTAAGTCTGGCCAGACTTATTAAATTACTTTTTTAATGCATTTTTTCGTTTGATCAAAGATAAATAATAGGTGGGTGACGGTGTATTTATTATATTTGATTTGGATTTGTTTAGTAACTTTTGATTTCACGCGATTGCCCAGACTTTTTTATCACACTATAAATCATACTGTATTATTTATTATAGATATTCAAAAATCAGTAAATTAGACTGACTTTGTAAAAGACATTAATCGATGATCGATGGTTTTTGGTCACATGAAAACAATTTCGTTTGTGATGTCATACGAGACACGAATTAACAGCCTTATTTTCAGATTTACCGTTTACGTTTACTTTTCGATACGATGACTTCTATCCGTAAACTCTGTCGTCTTCCCCCCAACTTGGCTTTAGAGCCAGAGCAATTGTCTAAATTAGCCTCGTTCCCTCATAACCCCATACGCACCACTCAAGATTTGTTAGTTCGAAATGAGCTAGAGTTGATACAATGTTGTAACTTGGAACCAAGAATTGCCGAAAGCATTTTAAAGAAATGCGCAAAATGGGTAGCTCCCAAAAATTGCACGGTAAATTAACATTAGGAATCGTGACTTTTTTTTTTCTTTTCGAGAACAATTCTTTTATGATTTATATAGGCATTAAGCCTGCTAAAAACTGGAAAGGAACCCTTCTTTTCGACGTCCTTTCCAAACTTGGATCGTGCTCTGGGTGGCGGAATACCATGTTCGTCCTTGACCGAATTGGTGGGGCCATCCAACTCTGGTAAAACTCAATTCTGTCTGGCACTATCTATACTCGCCACATTGCCTATCAGCATGAACGGACTAGACGGTGGAGTATGCTACATCGATACACAAGGGACTTTCAGAGCCGAAAGGTAATTACCATATATTTTTTTCTTGCACTTTTTGAAACTTTCTCATCTTTTGATTTCGTATCGCGCAAGGCTAATAGAAATAGCGCAGAATAAGTTTTCACATATATTCGGTGTCGAAAATATGCAATGGGAGTTAAATTTAAAGAACATGACCGATTCTATTCACACCATGAAGGTCAAGTCATCCAATGATTTAAAGAATAAGTATGAAGATAGCCATTTTTTTGTATCCGTTATTTGAAAACGATTCTAGCAGACATTATTTAAACGGGTATTTATTAGATTAGAGAATCTCCAAGAATTCATTATCGAAAATAATATACGGCTGTTGGTAGTTGATTCCTTTGGCGCTCTAATAAGAACAGAATTTTCTATCCAAAATCCGAATATTTATAATGGCAGCACAAGAATTCTGGTCGAAAGGAGTCATGTGATAGCAAAATTGGCCTCGATGCTCAAGTAAGATCTTTTGGAAAAGCTTGTTCATTTTTTTCTGGTGATTTTCATTAAGTTTTTAATTTGACCACAAGAGGTTCCTGGCTGAATCTTTTAACATGCCAACGATAGTCACAAACCAAACGATAACAGTTTATCATCAAAAAAAGACAGTTTATGTGCCACCAGATATAAATGAAAGTTGGAATGGTAACGTTACTTTACTTCATTCTAAGCGAGGGGGATTTTTTTAAAGCACAAATATCTTACGTACTGTATGTGCAATTCTTGTAGAAGAATCGGATACTTTTGTAAAACCTGCCTTGGGAAATACGTGGGCGCACTCAGTTAATACGCAATTGTGGATGGATTTTTGTAATTATCACCCCGTTGTTCTGCGCGCGAATCCAGCTATTCCAAGAAATATTCGAAAGATCACCATCACCAAGTCCCCAATCAGCCAAAACACGACTTTTTATTTTAAAATAGCAGCACAAGGGATTGTAGAGTTGGTGACAAAAAACATGGGAAAACAAGGCGCAGAAACTTGCATCAAAACGCCGAGGGTAATTGATGACCAAGATACATTCCCCAACAAAATATTGCGAACGGATGAAATCAAAAATGAAACGTGAAATTTATTCTGATCTATCGTGTAGTGATTTTTATAATATAGGCGCAGAGGAAATTCACCTGTTAAAATCTTTAAAAAACTTATATGTATAATGAATATAATAAGGCGTGTACAGTAGTTTAAAAAAAAAATTATCATTTTGATGAGATGCATCTTGATTCATAATGCCGGCCAAAATTTATATTACGGATCAACGATCGACACGTGAAAGGAAACCTTAAATATGACAGAGTAGCCGATGAACCTTTTATTTCGGAATGATGCTTAATGCAAGGATTTTTGCGAGGACACGGATCTTGTTCCGTTCCCCATACACCGGGGTACGTAAAATTCGGGACCCGTATATGTTACGACCGTTGCCTTATTGTAATAATAATAATATTAATAAATCTCTTTAGGGTCTGCGGCAAAACTTTTGCATCGCGCACAGTACAATACAACGAAGTTTTTCGACTCAACTTGGACCCGTGATGAAAGGTGTTAGAGTTTTATAAGTTAGCAAATTTTCTCACCACTTGATAACTATAGTTATTTTGGAGTGGGATGTGAAATGTATTAATGTATTTTTGACTGGGCCGCAATTAAAGATATCATTCAAGAGTTGTATATCAAAGAACTCAAGGGTTATAAACCGCACCCTCAGGTATGGCTGGTCTATCTTGTTTTCCTGCCTTTCTGTTCTATTCTATTGTTATTGTTTTCCGGAATTTATTTTTCCATCTTACATAAGAAACCTGGTGCTGAGCTCGGCAATGTCAAAGACCTTCGCCTACCACCCGCTCCCCAGGTATTTACTCGTATACAACGTCTCCTTCTTGAAGATTCGGGTAGTTGGGTCTGATTTTTTCTTTTTTGTTAAAGCCTCCTAGTGTGGACGGAAACATTGAATCAGAATTAGCAGCTTATGAGACGGAAGAATTACCGGGAGAAGAAGAAGCCGCTTTCGAGTCATTATTAGAAGAACAATTTCTAAAGGATGATGTGGGGGAGGTTTCTCACGCTTCTGCGCATTGATTGATCCGGTAGTAAGTGACAAATGGGTCGTGTCAAAATATTGTAAGCGAAAGAAATTCAAAATAATTGATTGAATAATAATAAATGACAGAAATCCAGGATTACGGTTTAATTTTTGGTATAATTATGAGTGCTATGGTTGAACAATCATCCTTAAAACATGTTATTTATCACATTAATTATACATTCTTTAATGACACGTTATTTATCACATTAATTATACATTCTTTAATGGCACTTGAAAAGTTCACGAGGTTATCATTTAAACATTATTTGTAAATTAACTTGTTATAATGATAGTGTTCCTCGTACGTAAGACTACACCAATAAAATTTTATCGCAAGGTCCCTTTTTTGGAATCAAAAACCTAAGTAGCATCTGTAACTTCTCTCGTGTCAGCCACAGTAGACTCTTCTTCAACTTTATCCTGCTGTTGAGTGACCAAGTCGCCAGCACCCATCGATTTCCCATTATCCTGACCATTATCGGGAACCTGGCCTTTCTCCAAGGTCGATGGCCTTTGTGTTGGATTACTATCGAAAAGATGATCCATCTCCTCTAATGATTTTCCTTTGGTCTCGGGGTAGAATATGAAAATTGATGCGGCCATTATGACACAGAATGATCCGAATATGATGTAAGTTCTATCGAGAAATTGGAAATAAAAAAAAATTGATGAATTCCAAGGATGGAGAACACGTGGTGGTGCATTGATAAAGAAAGATTGAATTCCCCTTCGCCCGGACTAAAACCTACCCCCATGTAATGCTGAAATAGTGAAAAGATGGTTAACAATTAGCAACAAAAGTTAGCAAAAACTTGCAAAGTTAATCATGGTTTGAAATATCCAAATACCTATCTAATAAGGACGGCGTCACCTGGCCTACGACAAAGTTGAAGAGCCAATTCGCAGCAGTTGTGATGGACAGAGCTTTGCCTCGGATTCTAGAAATAAAATGGAAATATTTAATATTACTTGAAGCAAAAAACGAATAGGAGGGTTAAGATTCACCTTAATGGAAAGATTTCGGCCGGATAAATCCATCCACACTAGGGTAATTAGTAATTTTTATAGCGGCGGATTAATGAAAAAAAGTTTGTGTGCAAAAAATCATCGCTGTATTTTTAGTTGTATACACACCGGTCCCCATGAATATGCGAAAGACGCAACAAACAAATAAATCAACGCAATTATAGAATAAGAGCTTGCATTTGAATCCAACTTCATGAAATTCTTTCCGAGACCTTCATCAAAATATTTGGTTCCGTGTACGCCCAGCACACTCCCAATGGAAATCATGCATAATGCCATCATAACTCCTCCCGATACACTGTTTAATTTCATAAATTGAGAATTCGAAAAATCATTGACCTTTAAAATAAAATAAAATCTTACAGAGTTGGTCGACGACCCCAATGATCGATCCAAAGAATTGCGGGTATCGTAGCGAGAACATTGACGATGCCTGAATTTATATTTATTTTAGAAGAAAAAGCATTAATTAGGGCGGTATATAAAAGTATTTAATTAAAGTTCAAAATATAATCGTTTACCATTGACACCCGTAGCAAGAAGTTTTGAAGAATTACTCGTGAGACCAGCGTTGGTAAAGATTTGTGGCGCGTAATACTAGGTAACAAGATAATTGTCACACGTGATCCCAATATACTCCCTCTCGTAATCTTTTACTTACCATGATGGCATTGATGCCAGTCAGCTGTTGAAAAATCTGGATGAAAATGCCAAGTATCATTCTACGGCGAATATTCTCCGGTCCACTTTTCACCAACTCTTTGTAACTCTTTGCAGAAAACTCCCTTTCAAATAGAATGTTGGATTTAATCTCATTGTATTCACTTATCACCATGGGATCCGATTTATCCCCATTCGCGTGGAGTTTCGCGAGTACCGTTAGCGCTTCGTCGTCTCGATCGTGATCCATTAGCCAACGAGGTGAGTACGGTAAGAATAGGATCCCCGATGCTGAACATTGCACGTGAATTTTTTAGAATATGCACTTAAACGCACCGACCGTCAAACATCGAACCGCAGCAATTACCGAGAACGGAGGCCAATACACACTGCATCCACAAAGGAATTCTCCATTGTTGCTCTGAATCAATTTTTCCGGTCGCATAATCAACCCAAAATGCCATCGCAATCCTTTTTTAAAAAACAATCGTCACGTGATAATGAATGGTCGAGATCAAAGGCAAAGTTTTACGTACCCTATGGTAATTGACCATTGTTGAAGGGAAACTAGACGACCGCGAATTTCCTTTGGGCTAATTTCAGACTGGTACTAATGGAGATAACATATGAAAACCAAGGAATGAATCACACGAGAAGATTCAAAAGAAGGAGAATGTGAGCGTACATACCAGGGGTACCATCATCGATAAAATACTAGGAGTACGTGATAGTTCCAATTACTCGGGATATTTAGGAGATAAGAAGAAGAGGAGAAAAAAAAAAAGAAAGAAAAAGCTGAATAATTACCCAATCGAAATCCCCGAAACGATTCTGCCAACATAAAGTTGCGCAAATGATTCCGACGAGGCTTGTAAAATTCCACCGACTATAAATGTCAAGGATCCTCCGAAAATTGACCATTTCCTGCCAAATTTATCGGCGGAATATCCAGATACGAGCGCACCTGCGGAAATTCTTCTTTAGAATGAGAACGAAAGTATTACCGCAGAAACTTTGCAATGTTAATATACCAACGAAGCATCCTGCTAGGAAAGAGGAAACGATCGACCCTTCTTTCGCCGGACCCGAAGGAAACTTTTGACGAAAGTATGGCATCGTGAGTACTCCGGATATGACACCTGGTGTAATTCATGACGATAGAGAAAAAGGATTCACGTAATTTAATAAAGAAGGCCTTTGAAAATCATGCAACGATCGTTCTTAGCTAAAACTCACCGATGTCATATCCAAAGAGTAATCCACCTGTCGACGTACAAAAAGGTACATGAGAAAAAAAGAATATGCGTATAGATATACTGTATATGCATAATTAAATAATACCAAAGGCGGAAAATGCTGCGCATAAATATACGTATGTGGTCTTTTTGGTCATGAGGGATGTTTAAATTACTTCGTGTGAATGAATGAACAAACATTAATTTTGAATTCTCGAAATGATCACAGCAAAAAAAACGAGCGTTCGCAAGGTCAATATGAATAATGTCAGAACTTACGGGTCTTTAGAATATTGAAGGATTGATAGTGTATGTTTTAATTGTGTTTAAGGAAAAAAAAGAATTAATTCAGTTAGGAATTTTTATACCATTAATCATCATCCTCATCAAATATGATGAGGAATTAAACATGTAAGGAGATTCACGAAAAAAACGCTATGGGATGCTACTTGCCACTACGTATTCAAGCTGGGATATGATGAAAAAATTCGCTAGATAATAATAGCATTCCCGGTGTTTTCACGTGTGTTTTTGTCGAGCGGGAAAAAAAAAATGCGTTCAATTTTTCGCCTTTTACCGTGAACGTTGAAGGTTTGTTCGCCAGCAAATTTCCTTCATTAATATATAAGAAATTTGAATTCCATAAAATTTCAACGAATAATGAATTCCTTTATGAACTTTACTATAATTGTTTTAATACTAACACTAGATTTGGTCGTTCTATTAATACATTTTATTCCTCGTATATGCTGTATATGAAAGAGATGTTCTCACGCTAGGAAGTTTTTGACCCCCACCAAATTCAAAAAGATCGTCTTTTAGATCGTGACTTCCCGTTATAGTAGTACTGATCTTATGCGGCGTACGGCAGTTTAGTAATTAGAATAATTGGAATTCGTCCCTTTTTCTTCCATCGTACGACTTGAGTAGTATGGTGGGTGAGAAAACCATTTTTAGAAATGAAAATGGTTTTGTTTAAACCGCTAATTGTTTATGATCATTTAGGGAAAACCCAGTACAGCCGCAAAACCACCTCGGAACGCGTCAACAAAGAGCGGCAGCGTCAAACGACGACCGCCGGTTCGTAGAGTTGCGGCGCGAAAAAACTCGCCTTCTCCGGAACTGATCAACTTTCGAGATAGGGCTTGTAGTGCTTCAAATCAAGTAGACAAACGAAGACACGCCTTCGAAAGTCCAAGCGGTCGACAGGAAGTCAGCCATAAAAAAACAAGGCAAGAGATTGTCGAGGATCTTTCCGACAGCTCACCTCAACAAGGTATTCTCGCAATTCAAGTGCAACTAAAAGGAAAACGCGTTTTTTTTTTTTACTAAAGAGTCTATTCCTTTCAAAACTACTGCGACAGCTCCCAGAGCATCCGAAGCTACCGCCAATGAACGACCAATGCCTTTAAATATGAGTGCTATAACACTCGGTATTGAAATTATGAAGAAATCAATGACGTAAGCTTTCCCCAAGGTGAAGAACCACCCTTCTTTGCTTATCTACCACGAATTATCATTCTATTTTTAATCAGTGTGGTGCTCGACGGAGTTCGAGGGCGAACGAGAAAATTGGAATTACAGGATATACTGAGTAGTCTGATATCAAAGTAATCATACATATATTCTTGCGAACTTGAAGTTTCATTAATTTCGAAAAAAAGTAGCAACCAACACCTTATTTTCGGATACTGCTTTTTAATTAATCAAAGGGTAAACAAAAATTTGGAAATACTCTCGATACCCAAAGCCTCCGATAACATAATTTACGACAAAATCCAATCGCAAAACGTAAGCAGGTAACATTTCTTATCAAACAATG